ATATCCTACCAAAGGTACTGCATAATCTTAAGACATTGCAATAAACCTATAAACCTGAAGTGGAGCCAGCCTTAGTCCAGCAGCAACAGCATTGTGAAACTCTGGCCACGTTTTAAGTTCTTGAATATTTCTTATGTTTGGATCTAGATTAACCTATCAAAAAAAGATATATAAGAGAAAAGTATAGGAAGGAAAATATTTTTTGCAAATGCTTGCATAGGAGAAAGACAGAGTAGGTTTGAAGAGGAAGAAGAATAAGGCCACAAAGAGGACTTTGAATGGTTTCCATAGAAACAATTAGATTCTCCGACAAGCCCTTTCTAGGGTTTTTTCTCCATCTGGCCACTAGCTTCCTATATATATATATATATATATTTATAAGACTAGCTGTTGTCTAGATTTGAAATGAAATAGACAATAAAAGTTGGAGCAGCAAAAAGAAAGATGAACTAGAAAGCAGGGGACAGGGGATTCTGAACTGTCATGATTTAGTGGGGACTAACTTGGTCAAGACAAAATGAGAAATCCCCAGATATATGCTTGATATGAAACAACAACAAAACACATCGATGTAAGCAATAAACAAATGGGCATTAGACTAATATAAATGCTTTCTTTCAACATACCGTTGCATTTTGTTGGGCAGGCAACCGACCTGCTAAAACAAGCTTTGGGACTGTAAAGGCCTACATAGAATTTCACAAGATGTGTAAATTGCCAAGTGATCAGAATCAAAAATAAAGGAATCAAATGAGGCAAATCAATCTACATAAGAAGTATACAAGTACCTCTGTTAAAAGAGTATAAATTGTCCCAAGAGTAAATGCTCCACGACCAAGAGGAAGAGCAGTGGTCCTCTGTGCAAGTTGCCAGAGCTGAGCCTTTACCCCAAAAAAATATGGAGAAGCAACTAGATTAAATAATGTACATTGAGCTACATATGTCTAAAAGAAACAGACTTATAACAGTGGAGAGTCATAGCACCCCTAAATTGGATTTCTCAACATGCTAGAAGTGATGCTCCAAAAATTGTTTTAATCTCCAAGCTACCCAGACCACAAGTCTGTTTAAGATAATCATGTTCAGAAGTAAATAGAAGGAAAAAAAAATGGTCATTTTCCAGTCAGTTCTGAATGATTCATGCATACTCATCTATAGTATACTCCAACCTGAATACATCATTAGTCCAGCACATTGCCTTACCCTGTTTTAAAAGTCTAGAAAACCCAGATGAAATTATATTGCAGTGAGATAATGCATATCTGTTCTTGACTCTTAATTTCCAATTCTCAGAGGTTAAGGCTTCACTAATTCCAATTGTCTGGGATTTGAAAGAGAAGAGTGGCTCTCAGCAGCAAGAGAAGCATTTCACCAAAAAAATAAAAATAAAAATAAAAATAAAAAAATAAAGGAAGAAAAAGAAACCCTCTCACTTGCTAGAGCTACAATATATACACAAGGATTGAGGGGTACCTGTTGAAGGTCTTGATCTGAGGCACTAGGGTTGACTGATGTTTGAATTGCCACAGGTCTTGCAGAGCACAGCAGGCGTCGAACCTGGTTAGAGTTAAGGTACTTCTCATTAAAATACACAAGAATTCAATTTCAAAAGTCATTCTAACACAATCATAAAATTTATAACCATAGAAAGTGCAATTTGAGGAAAAGAATAGGTGCCCAGCTGATCAATATACGCCCAGCAAAAAAACAGAATGTTAACATGGAAGTGATGAAACATAACAGATATGCTAAAATGCAGTCCAAAGACATGCAATCATGCAATAAGGGTTAGATAAAGACACAAAGTCCAGAAGTTAATCAAGCTACTGAACAGGCAAGGTAACATATAGACAGTTAACAATAGGAAGTGAATATACTATATAGCTCATGCAGGTCTAGTAAATTGCCAAACATGACCATGAAATCAGGTTATCCTAGGGCAGAAGTAAAGATTTTGTCCTTCCAAGAAATGCAGCAAACATCTAGCCCCAAATTAAATTAGTTTTACGAAGTGCTACAACAGAAAAGATAGGTTCAAAAAAATACATAAGATCAGCCTTTTTAAAGAGACCTTTTCTAAAATCTCATTTAGACAGGCCTTTGACTCCTCCAATGAATGAAAAAATTAAGGAAAATGGAAATCTTTTTAAGCAAAAGACTAAACTCAAATCATTTAACCATCTGGAAAGCTCCAAAAAAAAAAAAAAAAAACAGGGTAGTACCCTGTTCACAAAGGCCATTGACATCCTAACAAATTCACACAGTAGGCCTGGCACCTCACCTTGCTCAATATTGGGCAGACTTAAATATCCCATGTTAACAATTATATATTACAATCTATGACAAGCATGGATATTAGAATAAGGGATCATAATAACTAGCTCCTTAGAAGTTTAATCTGCAGCACTTTTACACTATTCATTCACCATATGGTGCCAAAGCCAACCTCATTCAATCGCAGATCCCGACCATATCTCAACTGTGTGCTAGAGCTGAAGATATGCTCCATACCATCAGCCATGGTTCCATCAACAGAATCTGCATCCTCAAACTTGGTGCTTTCTAGTCCAATCGTATCAGAAACTGTGGAAGGAATTGTTACAGGATGCAAATGCAGCATGTAAGGTGTAGACATGGAGATTAAATTCATGATTGTTTGTGTTTCAAGTTCCTTAGATTTGCACGAATGTGACAAACACGATAAAGCCAAATCTTCGCGACCAAGAAGAACATAAGCAGCTGCAGGCCAGTCAGTAGGAGGAGATTCCCGACACTTATCCAAAGCCTATAGACAGAAGCAAACAATCATGTAAGTAAAACACAAACAACAATACAAAATATAAAGATCTAAGAAACACCTTGTTGAATGAACAAGGTAAAGGAATATACAGAAAAATGATTTTATTTATTCATTTTAAAAATTAATGACATGCCAAAAGGGCAAAAGGCAAAGGAAGCTTCTAGTTGTGCCCATGGGCAAACCAGTAGGTCTACTAAACATAAATAACTAATAGTTTTTCTTCTACTTAGATCGGACATTAGCACCAAGAATAATCCTAATGCATGTAAAAAGAAAACATATTAAAGGTTGCTTCATGTTATGGATTGTTCTACCCTAGCTTACATGTCTAAGTGGAAGAGATACACCAGCAGGCAGGGAGTCCAGCTCCAGCAATCCAAATTTTTCACCAACCATTGCCAACACTGTCAGCTCCTCATTGTTGCCATATGATCCTGATGCAATGTTGCAACACACACCAGATGAAAGCTTCTTCCCTACGGGTTTAGCACCACAAAGTAAGCTATAAAAGGAGACAATCCTCCGTGCACAGCTCACAGCAGAACTTCCATCCTTACAAATTAAAGATGGAAGGTCAATTATATTAGCAGAACTACAGCCACTTTTCAAGCAGTTTTCAAGCCATCTGAATAAACTAGGAGGAGCTTTTGAGGACAAAGAGGTTGAGCAAATTCCAAATTTCTTGGAAAGTGTAGGAAAATCACGGATATAATGATCCAGATAGCATTCCTCACTCAGAAATTGGGCGACATTACATAAAAGAACAGCTAGAAGCTCCAAATCCCTACATAAAAATTGCAAAACAAATGTGATAAGTAAATAATTATAAAATCTGGCTCTTAACCCATATTAAGTAAAAGTTGTGTATAAATTCTTTGGATACAGAAGACATAACTTCAAAATGAAAAATTAGCTGAAGCGATCATTATGGAAACAATTTCAAAGTGCCAGAAGAAAAAGAGGGTAAAAAAAAAAAAAAAAGGAAAACTTCAGGTAGACTCATTATACAAAAAATCAGCACTGTTAAGTAGCAATGTTAGCTCGCACTGTATGGTTCAGGTTTGCTATGACCTTGCATTTGAGTTTGAGATCACCTAATC